CCCCCCAACCCGGCTCGGAGGACAGAGTCCGGCGCCAAGAGGAGAGCGGGGAGCCTCGGACTCCCACTTCCAACACCTCCACGCTGCACGGCTGAGCAGCTCAGTTCCTCCCAGTCTATACAACCGAACCTCCCTCAGAGCCACTGAGCCAACACGGAAGCCGCTCATTACAGGGTCTGCAACCGCACAGGGGGCACAAGGGCCCCACCCGGACCGCCGACGACCGCAGAGGCAGGTGACTGTCATCACCCGAGGGGGATGAAAGCATGCCACGAGGCCCAAGTGCACAGCGGTGAGGGGCAGGCTGGCTCTGGGTGCCACCACTCCCTCTCAGGCAGGCCACTTGTCTTCCTCTCGCCCCTCAGACTCCCAGCTGCCGGGGAAGAGAGACCGTGTCTGGCTCCGGCCACACCGCGGAGCCTAGCGTGTGGCCGTGTGCCCAGCAGAGCCTCTCGGCTTCAACCCGAGCGCGTTTCCTCCCACCGAGTCCCGGCCCTGCGCGGCCCCACACGCACCTGATGCGGCCGGCCAGCAGCATGGCCAGCAGGCAGGTGAGCAGGCCCAGGGCCACGACGCCCATCTGGTGGCTCTGCCCGAAGGCCCAGGCCTCCCGCAGCTTCTCTGCCGCGTGCTCGGGCAGCAGACCCAGCAGCTGCTGCCAGCTGTCGACCCCGGGGGCAGTGCCGTTGTCAGGGGTGGCCGAGCCGTTGCCACCAGGTGGCAGGGCCGGGGGCAGGGTGGCCTCTGGGGCGAAGGGGTTGCTGGTGCCATAGAACGCGATGGTCAGCAGGAAGGTGCAGGCCAGGAAGGCGAGGGCGCGGAGCACAATGACCTGGACCGGGGCCTTCGCCGAGGAGGAGAAGCTCTGAGGGAGAAAGACCGGTCGGAGGGGTGGCCAGAGCCACCGACAGCCATTCCCGGTGCCCACTCTGCACGAGGGCCTGGCCAGCGCCCCCAAGCGCCCGCCGAAGAGTCCACCTGGTTCCTGATGGTCAGAGGCGGCGCCTTCCTCACGCCTTAAACCCTTACGTAATCCCAGCTTGGTCTCTAGGTTTCCTGCTGGGTTCCACTCATCTGCCTCCTTTCTTGGCCTTCACCCGCTGGGGAAGTCACCCCGGCCGGCAGGGACTGCTCTATCACGTTCTTCAGAGAAACCCTTTAGGTGGTAGGGTGATCAGGTTTCTTTCAAGTCAAGTAAGTTTTTTAATCATTTCATCAGGTTCTCATCAGAAATTCCTATTGTGATTTTCAGTGGAATTGCAATAAACAGAGAACTCCGGCCAAACTGAAGTTAAAAAAACCCAGTCAAAAAAACACAAAAAACGAGCTGTTTGGTCTAGGAACACTGTGGTGAGGGGGGAAGCTGAAGGTCAGTGTCCTGCTGTGCAAAACCGGCTGTGCGGGCCGGTGGTATGGCCTCGCGGTCAGGGACCTGGCACTCAGACTGGAAACCACATGCCAGTTGGACACAGAGCACATCTGGGCAGGAACGTCTCTGGCAGGGGATGGTTTTTACTTCTAAACCCACTTGCTACTACCTCAGGCTTTTTGAAATTTTTTTAACGTTTTGTTTATTTTTGAGAGACAGAACACGAGTGGGGGAGGGGCAGAGAGCAAGGGAGACACAGAATTTGAAGCATACTACCTCAGGTTTTTTAAACCAGAACATTCCATTAACCAAGTATAGCGATAATTAAAAAGGTTTTGACCTGGTAGTCTTGGCGCCCAGCCCTCTGCAAGTTCTTGAACTCCGAGTCTGGCTTCCACAGCTGTAGATGGGAGTCACAGGGCCTCAGGGGGTATCCACCACGAAGGGTGCTGGGGGGAGCGCGTGCCTGTGTCGGGGAAGTGCCTGGGTCCGATAGGACCCTCACAACCCCTGGCCCAAGCGCACAAATACACATGTATTGGGGCATCTGGGTGGCCCAGTTGGTTAAGCTTCTAACTCTGGCTCAGTCATGATCTCGTGTCTGTGGGTTCGAGCCCCGCCTCGGGCCCTGTGCTGACAGCTCGGAGCCTGGAGCCTGATTCAGATTCTGTGTCTCCCTCTCTCTCTGCCCCTCCCCACTCATGCTCTGTCTGTCTCTCTCTCAAAAATAAACAAACATTAAAAAATTTGAGGGGCACCTGGGTGGCGCAGTCGGTTAAGCGTCCGACTTCAGCCAGGTCACGATCTCGCGGTCCGTGAGTTCGAGCCCCGCGTCGGGCTCTGGGCTGATGGCTCAGAGCCTGGAGCCTGTTTCCGATTCTGTGTCACCCTCTCTCTCTGCCCCTCCCCCGTTCATGCTCTGTCTCTCTCTGTCCCAAAAATAAATAAACGTTGGAAAAAAAAACATTTTAAATAAAAAATTTGAAAAACCATATGTGCGTATTACAACACAGACCCACTCTTCTTGGGATACCTGCTCAGGCCAGTGGCACGAAGGGGCCTGCGAACAGCTGGGAAAGGGGTCCCGGGGGAAGGCTACTGCCTCCAGGAAAAGGGTCTCGGCTCTGAAGAGCTGCTCAGCCCCCCAGCAGGGGTTTCCTGCACAAAACCAAGGGCCGTGACTCCCCAAACGCCCCGTGGGGTGCCTTGCTCCAACCTGCGTGTGGGTCTGGTCGGCTTCCCGGCGCTTGAACTGGTGGCTGAGCAGCAGGGCACGCAGCTGGCGGTTCTGGTGCTTGATGTAGTACTCGACGGCCGCCTGGCAGGGCCGGCACAGCTTGTACATCTGCTCCAGGTGGTGCCGATACACCTCGATCTCCTCGTCATACCTGCCCTGCGGGGGGGACGACAGAGGCTCAGGGTCCTGGGGGGGCCCCTGGGGGTGCTCGTGTCGAGCAGGTCAGATCTGGGTTCGCTTACAAGGGCGGTGACCACGAATAAGTCGTGCCCACTCACAACCCGCTTCCTCCGTGCCCAACAGGACCGATGGCCTCCTACTGCCTGCGGCGATGTTGGCCACGGGGAGTGAGGCCTGGCCCAGAAGCCGACACACGGCAGGGGCCCAGAGGTGACAGGAGCCACTCTAGCCGAGTCCTGTTGCCGCACAGGATGCACCTGGAGGCCAGGAGCTCGGGATGCGGTCCCTGCTTCAGGTTCCGCTCCCGGGTCCCAAGAGCTCCAGCAGGGCAGGTGAGCCAAGGGAGAACCCAGCTCTGGGTGGACGCTACTTAGATGGAGGCAGAGGCCTGCCCGTGCGCTTAAGACCAAGGGTCCAGAAAACACTAGAGAACCAAGGGCTTCAGTGGGAGCTGAAGGGTTCTTTGGGCTCCAGGAATATTTCAGAAGATTCGAGTCCCACACCCCCTTCTCCCAGAGAGGCAGCAACACACCTCTCCTTCCCTGTTGCCAGGGGAGCCGAACATTTCAGTCTGCAGTGACCAGGAGAGTTATCGGTCTGATCTCTGGCTGGGACTGAATGTGCCACAAAAGCTTCTCTGCTTGCCAAACTGCACATGCCTTCCCTTCTTTATGCAGGTTCCCGGTCTCCCCCTGCCTCCTCCCCTCCCAGTGGGATCATGGGAAAGCCACAGTCTCTGGGCCTCAGCCGGGCTCTTCTCCTGCGGTCAGGGGACCCCCGGGGCGGGCGAGGCCTGGTGGGGGGCGAACTCTTAACACCAGGCTGCTCCCCTATCTTCCTCTCCCCGGAACTGCAGGGCAAACTGCCTGCCCGGCCAGTGGACAAGACGGACTCAGGGACGCGGACAGGACTGGTCCAAGAGGGCCCGCGTGGGGCGCCCAAGGACCCAACCTCCCCCTGCCCTGGGACACGCCCCTCTGGCAGGCACTGGGGTTTCTACAATGACGTCCCGGGCTTGGAGCCCCAGGACAGCAGCAACCGCGAGACGGAGGGAGGGCGAGAGGTGTGTTCCAACGGGGACGGAAGAAATAACACACCCGGAACGTGGGGCCGGTGCGGCAGGGGGAGGGGGAGGGGGGCCGGGGCCCCGCCTCGTGCCCACCTCACCTCGTCACGCGGTGCGAAGGCGGCCAGCTGCTTGATCTTGGTGGTCTGGTGGTGGCTGCACCTGCGGCACAGCAGCACCTGGCTGCTCACCCACTGCTGCGGCTGCGCGGGGGGGCGGGGCCCCGGCACGCTGCTCACCACGTGGTTCAGGTGCTCCAGGTACTGGGCGGGGATCGGCTTGTTGTAGTCGCCGTTCTGGGGGTGGGAGGGGACCCGAGTCAGCAGCGGGGAGAGAGACTCAGGAGAGCCGCCACGGATGCCACGTCCGGCAACACCCCGGGGGAAGTGGCGGCGGATCCCAAACACCCCCTTTCTTTACAAGCAGCGGCGGAAGACTTTCTTTTAAAGCAGCTTCACGGGGAGCCCGACAGGCAAGACGCCGCGAGTGCGGCCTGCCCCCTCCCTCGGAATCCTGCCGTGGGCCGGCCGCCCGTGTTTGTGAATCGAGTTTTCAGGTCTGCACCACCTGGCAGAGCAGGGCCGCTGCAAGGACAGCCCGCAAAACTGAAAACACGATCCGGCCTCTGCAGAAAGCCCGCCGACCCCTGGTGTAAGGCAAAGCGGTGGATGGGCCTCAGAGCCGGAAACATCTCGGTCTGAACCCTGATCCGCTGCTTCTCGTGGCAGGGACACTGGACAAGCTGCCTGGGCCCCCGGCCCCGCCGGCCCCACCCAGCCGTACCTCCTGGAAGCCGTTGTACTGCTCGCAGTGCGGACAGTCCCAGCAGTTGCGGTTCCCGTACGGCACCACCGTGTCCTGGTTGCAGAACCAGCAGTTGACGATGGTGTGCGTCGGCTTCATCCTGTGGACGAGGACACGGTGGGGTCAGCCGGGAGGGCGCCGCCACCCGTGCTATGGGGACCAGAGAAAGCATGGGGAAGCAGGACGGGGGACCCGGAGCTGAAGACGCCGCAGCCGGGAGAAGTGACGAGGCGAGGGGCTGGGCTGCAGGTTGAGTGCTGGCCACAAGGACCTGCAAGGAGGCCGAGGCGGGGACAGCGTCTCCTCAGGCCTCCAGGCGAAGCCTGGCCTCCTCCCTCCCAGCGCCGGGGGACAGCTGAAGACGCACCAGATACCGTGCCACCAGCCCCTGGTATCCTGGGGCTCAGGCATGGGGGCAACGCGGACCAGAACCTACCAGGCCACAGGGCCGAGAGTGACCAGGCTCGAGGACCGCCCTCCCAAGGCCCGCAGACCTCCTGAGCCTGTCCCTGGGCTGTGCAAACAGTGCTCCTCAGGGAGTTTGCAGAAGGCAGGAGCCTCCTGTGCTCCAAAGATGAAAAAAAACCCCAAGAGGGTAAGGTCAAGGAGGCTGAGGGGCGGGGACTAGGGACAGCTGCTCAGACTGGAGCCAACCCTCTCTGCTGGAGGGATAGGGCAGGCAATCCACAGTGGCCCTCGTTGGCCACACATGTGGTGACAGGTGGGGGCTGTAGGATAATCCCGGCCCAGACACTGGGGGATCTGTGCTCTGGGCCCCTCCACCCACCTCACTGGCTGCAGGGTGGGGTGAGGGGGAGGGAAGGGGGGAGTACAGCAACTGCCCAACAAACGCCTCCAGTCCCAGGGATCTAGAAACAATGCAGGCGATGGGTGGCAATTGCTTGAGCCCTGGGGTCCCGGCCTCATGTCTCCTAATCCCCCTTGTCGTCCCCCAGAGGCCACCTCCAGATCTGGGGCGCTGCCTGGGCCCCTAATGTACTGGGCAGCCGCACCACACGTGCTGCACGACCCCAGGAGTCCTGGCTCTGCCAGCTTCTAGATGTGAGCCCCAGGAGGCTCCTCCTCTCCCAGCCTGGCCTGCCCCTGCAAAACGCGAGCGGTCACAGAACCTGTGCGTCCATGTGTTATAACCATCCACTGACACGAGACACGTAAAGGTGCTGTGCGATGCAAAGGGCCAGCTCTGTCACCCTCCTGTCCCCGGGCCTGTCGGGGGCCTCAAAGGAAGCTCCTGACACCGCAGCTGCCTCCTGGCCGTGCCCCTCCATCACCCCCCACTGAGCACGGGCAGGTTATGAGGGTTGTCCGGGCCTCAGTCTTAACCACCTGCCAACCGGGCACAAGAGCATGTCAAGGATCGGAAGTAATGCCAGTCTAAATGCCCAGTAAGTGGTAGTTATGGTGAGAAGGGGAGGGGGGAGAGGAGGATATGCATCCAGGGTCCACAGAGGGCACCCTGGATCACCCCCAGCAACCACATTGGCATTCTCCCTGCCCCTGCTCAGGCCAAAGCCCTCATGAGGGACCAGGGACCGCCGCATCTTGTCAACAGCAAGAGGCCAGAGCAAAGCCTGGCCACGGCAGCAGTGGGCAGTGTGGCACTGCGGTCACGGTTTTGTGGTGTGGCCTTCTGCGGAAAGACATCTGCCTCCCGGACCGTCCACTTCTTTATCTGGCCAATGGAGATAATGATAAGCCTTGCCCCGAAGGGAGGCTGCTGAGAGGGTAAACCAGGGAGTTTAGGAAAGTGCTGAGCCCGGCAGCTGCTTGGCACAAGGCAAGCTGACGGCGTCCCTGGGCTCCATGCTAAGAGCAGTGGAAGGCGGCGCCAGGCAAGGTGAGAGGCGGGGAGACCCGCTCTGCCTGGATGCTGGCACTCTGGCTTTCTCTTTGTGATCTGCACCTGCTTTACAGGCCTCTTTGTCATAGCGCGGGGGGGGGGCACGTCCCAGTGAGTGACGATGCAGGGTGAGAAACCTCTCACCTGACCCCCAGCTCCCTCCATTCTCACCACGGGCCTCCTCGACATCCCTCCACGACACACTCAGCCTCTGGAGAGAAGCCAAGCAGAGGAGCTGGAGGTCTGAGAATAAAGAGAACTGGGCAGGAGATAAAGACGCAGGCCCCAGGAACCCATGCAGGCCATCAGGACCTGTGGCTCTGGGCCCAGGGAGCCCCCGGAGCCCCTCCTGCCCCAGGAAGCCATCATTTCCACTCTGAACCTCCAGCCCTGTTGCTCAGGAAACGAGCCTGGCCTGGAAGCGGGTGGCAGGAAGGGGAGGCAGGGGATTAGCTCTGGTCCCGGGGGCCAGTGGCTCTAGCTTGTCACTCTTAGCCCGTGGTAATCCCTGTCCAGGGTGGCGATGAGGGTGGGGGGGTAGGAGGGGGTCCACGGGCCACCGAGTCCTCCCCCACAGTTCCTGCGCAGCCAGCCCTGAAAGGGTCCGGGGCCTGGAGCGGCGGACAGGCCAGCGAGCGCTCGGACGCCGGGCCCGAGTTGGCTCCCCCACCAGCGACGCCTCTCCTCGGGCTCCACGTGTGAGACCCGACCTGGGCTGCGCCCACCTCCACCTCTACCTGTACCAGGCCTGACACGGGAGGGTGGGGTCTGTTCTGAGCCAGCTTAGCGCTGGTCCTGCTCTTGCTCAGGAGGTCCCCCCAGGTCCCTTCATAAAATCTCCAAACCGCTTCTCCCCCAGCCACCAACCCCCAGTCCAGGGAGGTTCTCGGACGCACCACTCTGAGCCGGGGAGGAGTTCTGAGGTAACAAGACGGCACATCCCTGTGACACAGGCAAGACTGAGACGGTCCCTGGCCAGGCGGCCTTGGGGGGAAGGTTGGGCCCCAGCAGGTGGGTGGCCAGGAGGATCTGGAAGGGTTCACCCAGCTTCTGCCGCCCACATGCTGAGCTCCCGGGCCCTGCTGGAGCCAGAGGAGACCCGAAGCGGCCAGGAGCAGGGTGGGCCCCTTGGGAGGGGAAAGGGGCAGCTACATGCTCTGGACCCACCCCTCCGCAGGTCCCAAACACACCCCACCCCGACCACGGTATTGCCCCATCAGCCCCGACGCGCATTTAGTTAAAACAAAGCTCATGCCCGGGCATCCTGCCATCTCCTACAGATGGGGGCAGGGGTGTCTGCTGTAGGAGGGAGCCCGCCATCGGAGGGATGCAGCTTTAGGTCCCGGGCGCCTGCTGTGAGCCCAGCACGGTGCCGCATGGAGGAGACACAGGGATGGGGCTTAATCCCTATCCGAGGGGGTTTCGAGTCTGGGGAAGACTGTCGTGTCAATGTTCCCACCAGGCCGTAAGAAGTACCCAGCCTCCCAGGAGGGGCCTGGCATATATATAGCTTCTGACTCTGGGCACCGTGCATCAGCTGGGTGGGGTCTGGAAGACCGTCTCTAGGAGAGTCAGGATGGTTCCCTCAGGAACCAGGAGGTTAGCCTCTCGAAGGGCCCCAAGAGGACAGCCCAGGACAGCCTCACAGGTGAGGGGGTCCTTGCTGGACCCCCAGGAGGCTCCTCACCTGCTCCTCTGTGCCTTGAATGGACAACACACGTGACCCTGCCCACCGAGCAGGTGTCTCCTGGGCTGCGGCACCAGCAGCGCCGAAAAGCTACTTGGTGTCAGAGCGCCTGGGTGGCTCGGGTGGTTAAGTGTCTGACTCGTGATCTAGGCTCAGGTCACGATCTCACAGTTTGTGACTTCGAGCTCTGCCGTCAGCACAGAGGGATTCTCTCTCCCCCTCTCTCTGCCCCTTCTCTACTCACGCTCGCTCTCTCTCAAAATAAATAAACTTAAAAAAAAAAAGGCAACTTGGTGTCGCCCGGGGCCTCCAAGGCCTCACACCCAGCCTCAAGGCAAACCTCAGGGAGATCCACGGCAGTCCTGTGACACAAGACAGCCCCCAGGTCCACCTCTCCCAGGGGAGACCTGGCCTGGAGACGGACGACTGCCCTCCTTCCCCTCGGCGCAACCTGTGATTACGGAGCACATGCTAGGTGTCTGAGAGCCAGAAACAGGCACAGCTTTCCACTTCTGATCTGGACAAGAGGACAAGAACAGCAACTTCGTGGGGCAGCTGGTGACAGATGTCACAGGAAAGGCCGACAAGCAGAGCATTTGCCATCATCCTAAAGAATGGTCAGCAGGGCAAAGTGAGCAGGCGGCATTCAAACAGTCGGGACTGCTAGGCCCAGAGGGGGAGGGGACACCCGGCGGGGTTCCAGGGAGCGGGGCCCCGCAGCCGGCATGCGGTTCCATGAGGGTGGCCAGAGGCGGGCGGGAAATGGGGACTCTGGAGGCCAGGAAGAGGCTCTGCTACTTAACCCAGGAGGCCGCTCTCTTCGGTCTCCAAACACCAGTGGACAATGCAATAAACACCACGGGAGGGGAGGCCCCTGAGGCCCTGAGCAGGCAGGAGCTGGCACGAGATGGACCCTGGACACAATGCTGAGCCCCAGAGTCCAGAGGTGGGGGGTCTGGGGTGGGGGAGGCCCCAGGAGCCATCATGACCACGTGGAGGCAGGGCCAGCAAGCCCAAGGAAGTGTAAGTCGGGCTCCCACCCCACGCTGACAGTGCTGGCCTCCCGCATGTGCTCGGCGAGTGTGGGGCCTGGTTAGGAGCTGAAAGGCTAGAGTGGATCTGCTGCCTTTTGTTGTTGTTTGTTTTTTAATATTTTTAAGTTTATTTATTTACTTGGAGAGAGAGGGAAAGAGAGAGAGAGGGAGAGAGAGGGCGAAAGTGGGGAGAGGCAAAGAGAGAGGGAGACGGAGAATCCCAAGCAGGCTCAAGGCCATCAGCGCAGAGCTCGATGTGGGGCTGAGTCGGACACTTAACCAACTGAGCCACCCAGGCGCCCCTTTGGATCTGCTGTTTAACAGTCGGGCACTGGAGGACAGGAGCCCAACTCCTCCAAGCCCTGGTTTCCTCATCTGGAGAATGGGTTTCTCGAGGTAGCAGTGTGCAGGTGCCTCCGCGGGTCGTCAGCAGTGAGTTACTGACGATAATCTGGGAAAGACTGCGGCGTTGGGAGGGCTGCAGCCCTTTGGGGAGGGAACTGGCCTCTCCCCCAGGCTTGGGGGGGGGGCAGTCTTCCCTCTATATCCCTCTGTCATCTCCGCCACTGCTGAGCCCACAAACACCCACCTGGCCAAGTCACTTTCCAGAAACAACTCTCACATGACCTCCCGAGGGTCATTCAAAACCCATGGTGCGGCCAAAGCCAACGCTCCCCAGTCACAGCGTTCTCCCTGCCGGAGGGAGAAGGGCTCAGTCTCTGCAAGCCTGGTCTTGCCTGTGAATCGTGACAGTGGCCAATTTATGACGCCCAGACAAAAGCCAATGCTTTCTGAAAATCTCAGAGCATCCTGGGAAAGGTCTGGTCCT